ACATGGCGTATGTGTAATCTACTACATTTTAGCCCACGTCCTGCAACCCCGCTCTTACACAGTCCTCCACCCCCTCTCCCTCTCTCTCTCCCACACTCTCTGCTTAATCACTGTAACTGCCATTTTTCATCAAAGTAATTACCCGCGGCCATCGCCATTTTCATTTCTCAGCTCTGACCACGCCCCTGCGTCTGCCTCCGCCACCGCCTTACACACATGCACACACACACACAGCCATCCACGCCCAGCTGTGGCGCTCTTTAGCGTCAAATTAAATCATTTGATATGCATTAAAATTTTATGCAACATTTTATTTGACAGCTTATCAGAGCTGCGAAACAAAATGTGAACGAACCAGACCCAAGCCTCCAAAAATATTTTAGGCAAAAATAAAGTACGTAGTATTCAATGCTACAACGGGTATATGGGCTTTACAGGAGTCTATTTGGTTTTACAGTGTCTGCTGTAAACCTCAAGTCTTTTCTAAGTATGTGAAAGTATTTTGATATATGTATATAGAGGTATATTTCCCATGTCTTCTTTAAATATTTGTATATATATTCATATGCAGAGCTATATAGGCATTCCATGTCTTATAAAACTACATTTTGATTGCAATAAACAAATAAGTCCAATGATTATATTAATCATATCATTTGAAATGAAACCATAATAATAATAAAATAGAATAAGTAATATATATACATTTCTCAATTTTCCCTCACATATTTCGTTGTACATATTATATGTTGTGATATAGTTCTGCTCTCCTCTTTCTCAATAAAAATTTACAGAGTATAATGGCTTTGCTTATTTATATAAAAGAAACTTCCTTTTTGTTATTATTAATTCATTATTTATTACATTTGCTTGACTTTATTAACACACTTTGGCCTGACTTGGCCCTCTTCTTGTTGGCTTCTGTTTGCGTGTTGCCTACTTTTCTGCGCTTCGGAAATGTTTAGAGCCTGTTGAAGAAAAGTTTTCAGCATTTTCTTTGTATATTTTGGGCATAATTTATGCGCCCAAATTAATATGCCCAAAAATATGCGCAAAAATATGCGACTGCTTGTGGGCATGGAGGGGTCTTACAGGTAGATGCCGCCACGCCTACTTCTTGTCGCCCACCTCTTGAAAAGCTCATCCACTTCAAACAGCTTGTTTGATATGTGGCATATATAACATTTATATATTTATTTCGTTGATTTGTTTGTTTGTTGCATATGTGAGGCAGAACAGAAGCTGGAGCTGACTTTGTAACTGTTTTCCCCCTTTGTTTCGGCTGCCTGCTCCTGCTGTGCCAATATGGGCCTTAACGAGCCAAGAGTTCCGTTTGGCTTGCCAACAACAGCTCTCCCTCTTTATTTTTCTTCCCATTCTTTTTTGGTGCTCGTTGCTGCTCAGCTGCCACGCCCTTTAGCCTCCTCCCAAAAACAACTCCCCCACTTGGCTGGTGGGCCAGCGGTGCCAAGGTGGCTGGCTGCTTGTTTTTGGCCATAGCCTGGCGCTACGTTTTGTTTGCCTTTGCCAATTGGCGTAGGCCGTGGCAAAAACTCGTTTAGTTGCCTGACCTAGCTGCTCGGCACGCCCCCTCCGCTCTCCCTTCCACTTCCTCTCTCTCATTCGTTTGCCACTGGGCTGCCTGCCAGCTGCCGGTTGCAAGGTTTTTCTGTGTTGCATGCATAACCAACTACAATGCCAGTCAAGTGTTTGTCTCTCTCTCTATCCCTCTCTCTCTCTCCCTCCCTCTCACACTCTTATCTCTCTGTGGCTGTCTTTTTTGCAGTTTTTGGCTCGCTGGCTGCTTGTCATAATTTTTAAGTGACCCAAGCGCCGCATGTGGTCGCCTGTGTCTGTATGTTGCAGGCACTGGGCTATCACTGCCCCGCCCCAAAAGCCGCAGCCCTCCCCGATTTACCTCTTAATGATTTATATCAGCTGCAGCATAATTTGTTTCTGCTCTTGCGAAACTTGAAGCGCGCCAAGCTGAAAACTACTTTAAGTTTTTAATGGATAGAGCACATTCTCGTAGCACCATTTCTCCAAGTTCTCCATCGAAAACACTAAGTTGGGAGCAGCTTAAAGAAAGTTTCATATATACAGTATAAATTGCGTTTTCAGGAACTTTAAAGTGCTTCTCTATTTATATAAATCTTGAATCCAAGTCTTTGAATACAAAATTTAAATAAATGCTTGCTCAGCTCAATTTTAATAGCCACAGCAAATTTTATTATAATTTTATATATCTAAATTTTTAAAATCTGAATCAAATCGTACTTTAATTTTGTATTTTATTGTTCTTGATTTTCTTTTTGATGCTTGCCTTTACTCCTTGAAACCTTTTTAAGATCTCCTTTTCTTCTTTCATGTCTTCAATCTCTTCGATGGCTGCCTTTGCTGGCGCCGCGGGCGTCGCGCTCTTTCGCTCCTTGGCTCCCCTAGTGAATGTCTCTCACAATTTACTTCGCAACTCAACAAGTTCAAAAGTTCATGGCAATTA